CGGAGGGTCCCCTACGCACGTGGCGTCCAAAGCAGGGCCACGCTCCGGCGCAGGAGAGGTTTGCAATCCCGCCCGCGCAGCCCCCCGTCCCTGGGAAGGAAGGAAGCCTCCCGGTTCCTTTGGCGCACCGGCTGCCTTGACTTGCCTGCACGTCCCGGATGGACGAGGAGGGCTCGGCGTGCAGAGAGCAGCCCGGAGGAGAGCAACAAGCCCGGGCTGCGGAGAGGCCGGCGGCCTGGTAACTCCGCCTCGCCGGCCGCGTCGACGACATGGGGCCAATTGGAGCGGGAGGAGCGCCGTCGTGCCGCCCCCTTCGCGGCTGCTGCCGAGCGCTGGGGGGAGGGGTCGAGGCCACCGGCTTGGAGACCTTGATTTTTTTTGCAGGGCTTCCCCCCCCATCCCATCCCATCCCATCCCATCCCATATATGCAAACTCTCGAGCAGCCATGGATAAGGTTTACAAGATTATGCACGGGAAAGAGCAGGTAGAGAAAGAGGTACTTTTCTCCCTTTCTCACAATACAAGAACTCGTGGGCACTCCATGAAACTGCAGAGCGGTCGGGTTAGAACGGATAAAAGGAAGTCCTTCTTCACCCAAAGAGTGATTCACACGTGGAATTCACTGCCACAGGAAGTGGTGGCGGCTACAAGCATGGACGGCTTCAAAAGGGAATTAGATAAGCATATGGAGCAGAGGTCCATCAGTGGCTCTTAGCCACAAGGTATAGATAGGGGCTCTGGGGCAAGTGATGCGCTGTCATCTTGGTGCTTGGGGGGGGGTCAACAGTGGGAGGGCTTCTAATGTCCTGGCCCCACTGGTGGACCTCCTGAGGGCACCTGGTATTTCTGGCCACTGTGTGACACAGAGTGTTGGACCGGATGGGCCTTTGGCCTGATCCAACATTGGCATCTCTTATGTTCTTATGATGATGGGCTGGTTTCAAAATCTACCTGGGGGATGTCACAATAACGCCGTCGTATGGCGACCCCCATGGGATTTTCAAGGCAAGAGAATTTCAGGCTCTGCAGGGGTGCCAGCCTCCAGTTGGGGCCTGGGGATCACCCCCTCCCCCTTGGAATTGCAGCTCATCTCCAGAGTAGAGAGATCTGTTCCCTTGAAGAAAACTGTTGCTTTGGAGGGTGGACTCGGTGGCTTTGTACGTAACCTCACTGATGTCCCTGCTGTCCGCCCCAGGTGCTCCCCTCTGATCCTTTGAAAAACCCTTTAAATCTTGCGGGAGGGGAGGGAGAGGGGTGTGCGTGGTCAAAAGAGCCGGTTTGGTGTAGTGGTTAAGTGCGCGGCGGACTCTAATCCGGGAGAACCGGGTTTGATTCCCCACTCCTTCACTCGCAGCTGCTGGATGACCTTGGGCAAGCCGTAGTTCTGATAAGAGCTGTTCTTGAAAAAAAGAGCAGTTTCTGTCAGCTCTCTCAGCCCCACCGACGGGTGCCTGTTGTGGGGAGGGGAAGGGAAAGGAGTTTGTAAGCCGCTCTGAGACTCCTTCGGGTAGTGAAGGGCGGGGTATAAATCCAATCTCTTCTTCTCTTCCCCCCCCTTCTTTAAATGCTTTTGGGGAGAAGGGGGTCCTTTAAGAAGAGGGCTGGCCCTTTAAGGCCAAATCTCCGGGAATTTCCCAACTGGGAGCAGGCAACCCTATGTGACCTCTGCCCCCCTGCCCCCCCCACTGATGGCCGATGGCACAGGTTCTTTGCCATTGCCTGCCTGTGCTTGACAGAACCGTAGACTTCCTTGGAAGTATCCCATCCAAATACTAGTCAGGGTTGGCTCTGCTTCGCTTCCTTCTTATCAGTATCGTCTTTTAATCAATTTTATTCAGTGCCTTCTCAAAGCACAATACCTCCGATAGCAAGGAAGGCTCATAAAAATACATCGTTTGTTGGCAGCACGTGGAGAAACATTTGAAAAGGGCAGTTTAAACACATCAACAAAGGCTCTTCGCTTCTGAGATCTGATAAGGTCTTCTGAGATCAGATCCACAGGCCATTGGAACAGAATTCCTTCCAATGGACTGTTTAGTAAAAGGGTGGGCAAGTCTATTTCATCGTCCTTGATCTGTGGCTGAGACTGATGTAGCCATGTTTGTTGCAAGAGGGTGTGGCATTCCCCACCCCCCCCCGCATGAAATCTGTTCTGACAGCCTCCACGCACATCGGTGGACGTTTTGTTCCAGAAAGGGAAACGGATATTCACGTGGAGGGAAATAACATGAAGGAAACCAAGGACACGTGTCTGTTCTTGTGGTGACAGGCGAAAGAGAGAGACCTCACAGAGGGTGAATATTGCATTGGGGAAAATACAATCACGCGATCCAAGGCAGTGTATGTGAGCTACCCAGCTTGAGGACGTCTGTGTGCCAGGCCACATCACAAAATATCAGGATGAAAATGTGGTCGCTGGTAGGGATGCCAGCCTCCAGCTGGGGCCTGGTGATCCCCTGGAATTACAGTTTATCTCGAGACTGCAGAGATCAGTTCCACGGCTGCTTTGGAGGTTGGTGCCTTTGGCCTTGTACCCCACGGAGGTCCCTGCCCTCCCCAGACTCCACCCCCACATCTCCAGGAACTTCCCAACCTGGATCGGGCAGCCATACCCACCATCACCTGCCAGTGGCCAGATGAACAACCCGGCAACCCCCGTGGCAGATCCTCCCACCGTTCTGAAAAAACAAACCGTGGTCCTGGTTCGAACTGAGGCTTCCACGAGAGAGGAGAGGGAGTTTTATCCTTCCATGCCTGTGTGGTTTGAAGGATCAAAAGCGACTCTTTCCTTCCTTGTGCTAATTTATTTTAAGGGGGAAAAGACAGGCGCCCACCATTTACATTTAAAGCATTGAGATGAGCCAGGGGTTCTACGGGACTCCCAGCCAATTTCCCCTCTAAGCTGTGGAGTCCTGTGAGCAAGAATTCTTTTTTGTCAGCTACTGGCATTAAAGTTGTGAGCAAGTGATTTGGCTACTGCATCAATTCGTTTGCTCTGGAGCCATCCTTCCTGAGCTAGGACAAAATTGTGTGAGCCGGAGGCTAAAAAACTGTGAGCTAGCTCACACTAACTCAGCTTAGAGGGAACACTGCTCCCAGCGTGTCCATAAGGAATCACTGCCTCCTCTTGTGATTTTGGCTGATTCTGCATCCGGCCTTCACTCCACATTTTCTCAACTGGGAGGGGAAAGATGCAGCTCAAAATCACATTCCCCGCACTGATTGCAAAGTCACCCCTGAACAGCCATAAAATGGCCATAAATCTATGCAGAAGGTACCATAGGACCAGTGTTCCCTCTAAGCTTCTGGCCCTCATTCAGCCAGGAGGAGGCAGGAGAAGAGGGAGGGTAAGTTGCTTCCTCCCCGCCCCTCCCCACCCCTGCCTGCCTGGGGCCAGGGAGGGCCTTGGCGGGGCTTCCTCGCACTCCCGCCGGCCTTGCAGGTCCACCGCCGGGCCCCTGATGTCAGGGGGTGTGGCATATGCTAATGAGTTATGCTAATGAGTCCCCCTAGCTCTTTTTCTACGAAACGACCCCTGGACTACTCCAATTAAAACAAACAGATTTATTACAAACAAACACTTAAAAGCATACAGGTTAGGGAGAAAGCTACAGCGAGCGAGACACAAAGAAACAAACAGAAAGCTTATTCTACCTAAACTAATACTCATCCCTTGGGGCGTTGCCCAAAGCAGCTGTGCAGACAAACTGGGCTGGGGCTGAGCGTCAAAGTTCTTCCCTCCGGCTGACACAGTCCTGGAACGGGTCTCCGGGCGTCTGACCTTCACCAGCCTCCAGCAAAGTTCCCTGGCTCGGTCCGACCTTGAGCCAGTTTCAGGTTTTCCCTCTCGTCATCCGTTAAGGTTTGTCTTGCCTCCTAATTTATGGTAGGCGAGCTGTCAATTCCTTGTGACGTCACAGAGGCGAGCACATGGCTAACTCAGATCTGCTCCTGTCATGATGTAATGTTAGTTCCCTGCTGCAAGCAGTTTCCCTGGCCAGTAATTGGTATTAGGTGCAGGGCTACACGTGCTAACTAGCTAATTTTCACAGACAGCACAATGCAGTTTGGTCCTGCAAAGACTTTAGAAACTTAAAGGGGAGCAATGTCTTGACAGTGTGCGTCCCAGGAGAGCTCTGGCTAGTAAAGGGACAGTAAACGCGCCAGTTTATTCATTCATGCTTTGCCGGGATTCTCAACACAACTAGCAGCTGAATGTATGAATTGTCAGCGTTGGACGTTGGTGTTTGTGAGGACATTTGAAAGTCCTGGTGGTTGGTAGGTAGATTAGAAGGAAGGGTTCATAGAGACGCCATGCGTACTTACAAGATCAAGGTGCTTGCAATGCTTTCCGGTTGACACGACACTCTTGCATTTGGTCGAGGCGGGGACGTGGCTGGAACTTGTGGAGCTGGACTAGTTCAAGCAGGGTTGCCAGATTCCAGGTGCGGCCTGGAGGTCTCCTGGAATCACAACTGGTCTCTCCAGATAACAGAGATCAGTTCCCCTGGAGACAATGGCTGCTTTGGAGGGCGGATTCTGTGGCCTGGTGCCTCGCTGAGGTCCTGCCTCTCCCCAAACCCCACTCTCCTTAGGCTCCACCCCCAAGATCGCCCAGTTTCCCAACCCAGAGCTGGCAACCCTAAGTTCAAGCCACTCGGCTACTCCAAGTGGTTAGGAGCGCAGGACTCTAATCTGGGAGAACCGGGTTCGATCCCCCACTCCTCCACATGCAGCTGATGGGTGACCTTGGGTCAGTCACAAGTTCTCCTGGAGCTGTTCTGGAACGAGCAGTCCTCGAAAGAGCTCTCTCAGCCCCGCCTACCTCACAGGGTGTCTGTTAGGAAAGAGATTGCAAGCCTCTTTGAGACTCCAAGTGAAGGGCAGGGTATAAATCCAATCTCCTCCTCCTCCTCCTCCTCCTCCTCCTCCTTCTTCCTTAACAACTGTGTTAAGAATCCGTCCTGCTCAACAATATTCTTTTACTGTGCTTCCTGTTTGGTCCCATGAGCACCCACTGGTGCTTAGCCCCTCAAATTGGATTATGTGTGCTCTAAATAAGCCCACAGTTTTTTGTTAAGGATGTCAGCCTTCTGTCAAAGACCCTTTTAACCGTCTTCACTTCAGCAGTTTGTGCATTAGGAGAGGCGGGAGAACACATGCTTTGCGTGCACAAGATCCGAACAGAAATGCATTTGACGACTTACCACCCTTCAAAAGGGCATATTTTGCTGCCATGTAATTTATAAGTGGCATAAGTAAATGATGGT